GGGCGGTTCTTCCCTCTGGGGGACCTGTGGGGCGGCCACTAGTGAGTGTGTCAATGGGCACAGGGCCCTCTGCACCCTTCCCGGGGTGATGAGAGCAGCACCAGCTGGATGGCCTATTACTTCCCTTGAGATGCCTGCGGTAAAGACTATGAAGGGTACTCGGGAGAAGTCTGGGGGGCACGTCCACACATCTGAAATTTGGAGAGAACTGAATTTTTGTTTTAAGTTTTACAGCACTTTATTATTTTTGTACATGGGCACAGGGCCCTCTGCACCCTTCCCGGGGTGATGAGAGCAGCACCAGCTGGATGGCCTATTACTTCCCTTGAGATGCCTGCGGTAAAGACTATGAAGGGTACTCGGGAGAAGTCTGGGGGGCACGTCCACACATCTGAAATTTGGAGAGAACTGAATTTTTGTTTTAAGTTTTACAGCACTTTATTATTTTTGTACTTTTTACACCCAAAAATGTCATCGCTCGCCCAGCTACCATTACGTTGTTTAAACAAATATATTGCAATGGCACAGGGCTGGCCTTACCCTGAGGTGAACTGAGGCGGCCCCCTCAGGTGCCAGACTGTGGGGGGATGCCACTAGGACCCAGAGTATTGAGACCTTTCAAAGTTTTAGCCACTTGAGGGCATCATTTGAGCTCCCCTCCTTAGGTGCCAAAATGTTGTGGGTCAGCCCTGCAATGATAGGAGAAAAAATGTGTCTGAAACTGTAGGTTCTCAGGGTACTTTTTTAAAGGGGTACTTTAGTTTAGAAAAGGTCGAAAAACACTGCTCCAGATACTGCTGGCTAGTAAATACTTTTTTTCCCTCTGCATTACCTCTCCTCCCATTTCCTACAGACACTCAGATACTCTACACAGCCTCAGTTTCAGGCTAAAGGCTTGTCTTCACTACTGGGTGGATTAATGCTGTGGCAGTTGATCCATAGGGGACTGATTTAAGAGGTCTAACTGAAGACCCACTAAATCAATCAGTCCTCATTCTCCCCATAGACTCCAGTACTCCACCCAAACAAGATGAGTAAGGGGAGTTGATGGGAGAATTTCTTCTGTCAATCCAGCATAGGATGGACCTGTGGTAAGTAGATCTAAGCTATATAATTTGAATTGCATTAGTAATGCAACTCAAATTGTATAACCTAGATCAACTTGTCATAGAATACTAGTACTGGAAGGGACCTCAAGAGGTCATTGAATCTAGTCCCCTGCCTTCATGGCAGGACCTTGTCCTTGTAATGTAGACTTTCCCTAACCTAAGAAGTGATGTTGAGTAAGGAGAAACTTACAATGTGAGAAGAGAAATCTTGCTCTTGTTTTGTGCTGCACTTACTGTTGTGTTCAGTAATTCCTTACTTACCAGGAATTTAATTGGAACATAGCTTGTTGAACACACACATTTGAAGCTCTTATTGCTCCTCTGCTTTTGTTTCTTATTTAAGTCAGTTACAATAAAATATTGCCATACTACATTTGATGTTACTTATTATTTATTCAGGCTCAGGTTAATACTGAAAGATTCTGACTAAATATTTTGGCTTGCTGATTGAAGGGGCCTCCTTCTGTGAGTACCTTAAAAAGAGATCAAACTTCTAAATACCTGTTTTTCTTTTTGGTGCTTCTGCTTTTTGGTGTATGCATCTTTGTCACAGACAACAACAAAACAGTGATTAATTTTGTGTATGTGTGTGCCTGTGAAGTGATTTGGTATTGTCTTTATTTTTAGAGTGAATTTTGAAAGGCACAGTCTTCATCTGCCCTGATGCTATCATCTGGAGTAGAGTCCCAAGAGAAAAGCCACCCCCATCCCCTTGATTCCTCCATGTCTGCTGTGGTACAGGAATTGTACAACGGATTGCCAGTCAGCATCTCCACTGAGATTACTCCTGGATCTGATGCTAATGTTAGACTAGATGCAAAACCTGAAGCATCAACACTTGTGCTAGCACATAATAGTAGTTTGCTGTCTGAGTGCCACAGAATTTGTGGGGTAGAAAATTGCCCCAAGGAAACTGATAATCTGGATAATGGGGGCAAGCTTATATCTCAGGAAGTGGTGGGATCTCTTTCTGAAGAGTCTATGGAGTCTAGAAACCTTGCTGAGAATGAAGAGGCCAAAACTGGAATTTTGGGAAAGCAGGACATCTGTGCTAATAGGAGCCAGAAGGAAGAGAGAGGCTCTGTTAAAAAAACACAAGATGTTCAGCAAGAGCTTGTTGGATAT